GTTTATGTCTGCTCTTATATATGTCTTCTATAATTCATTAATTTCTCCCTATAACAAACCTATAATATTTGAATTTATAACTGTAAAAACCTATAAAATATGGCTTTAAAAAAAGAGACAGAAGATAATAATCAACACAAAACAGACAATTCCAGGGGGCAGTGATCCCACCCTGTGACTGTGGTTCTTTGCAGAGGCAATAGATGAAGCAATGCCTTCCTACAGGCTGTAATTCAAAAAGAAGTACCAAATCATGTCTGAGAACAGTGCACTTTGTTTCCCTTCAAACATTCCTTTGCAATGAAATACATTATTATTATTTTAAGCATCCACCTCTTGCATCGGGAAAGTTGTCGATTCCTACTGCAGAGATAAGGAGGAACATAAGAGATGGGAACCCAAGCAAAAATGTCACCTGGTGGGATTGTCTATGGCCAATAAAGTAATTAACAGCACAGCTGTTTGCAACCAGCTGGAACTAGTTCTCAGTGACCCCTACAATCAGAAGTAGAGACAAGGAAGTCAGGAAAGCAAGAGAAACTAAAGGTTTTCATCTGTCAGAGGAAAATAAATTGGCTGGCTCTACCCTTTTCCAGTAAGCTGTCGAGTAGGCACATCTTGTGCTTCCCAGCCAGGCGTGCTGGCTGCAGGAAAAGAATGGTTTGGGGACTTGCCATTTTCCCTCATCAAAATCTTAATTTTCTGAATAATAATGCAGCATGTTTGCTGCAGAAGCCATAAGAAGGGAACAGAGAAAACAGCTGGTTAGAGACTGAGGCTGTTGGAAACCACCTGCTTGAAAAGGTGCATGAACACTCTTCTTCATTTTTTATTCATGTGAAAAAAAAACATTCATTGCCACTGGAACTTTAAGCTGACACATCCTGTGATTAGTCTTCTGAGCTAAAAGGGCAAGGGAGTCAACATGTTCTTTAACACTGAACATGATGATTAAGTCTTGTATCCTGAGCAGGAAAACTTGGTTGAAACAGTAAAGTTTTAGGGATATAATCTTGATTAGAGCAATCAAGTGATGGCAACCAGTGAAAACCACAATTCTTTGCAGAAGTCTGGTAAGAACTTTAGTGAGCTACAGTCAAGCCAATACACCAAGGGGGTGTCTGCCATACTGTATGCTGCGTTCCAGGAGCTGCCTTACTCTGGAAGGCAAAGAACTGATCTCTGGAATCACAGAATTAACAGAAAAGGACTTATTTAATGGTATGAGAAACAAAGAACAAGTACAAAAGCAGCATCTTGTTCATTTAAATAAACACGTATAAAGATCACTTTTCAGTATGAAGGCAAAGCTTGCCACAGAACAGCAAGAGCTGAGTGGGCTGGGAGAGATCAGAGGTAAGGGTGACAAGCAGTTGTGACAGCAGGCAATGTGAGACACTGTGTACTTTTTCCTAGGAACTGAACTGGAGCTAGCATTTCCTTCAGTGCATCATGGAATGAGCCATAAATTCATTTGCAAGATTGTCTGAGCTCAAATTTGAATTTGAGCATCTTTGGCTTCAACTGAAAAAGGCTTGAAGAGGAAAAAAACTCTAACAGCAAAGATGTTCAGTCTGCTGGATGAGTTATTTCCACCTTGAGCTTCATACTAATTTTGTTTGCTTTGCTGTCCTTTCTACCAATCCTGCTAAATATTAAAAATACCCAACACAGTAAAAATCCAGTCCTTTCCACTGTGGGCTTTGGCATATGACAATTCCCTCTAGAGACAGCCATGAGATGTAAAATTTCTGAGCTCAGCACATGCCTGGAAGAGGCAGAGGAATATATCTGTCCCCAGTGGTGCCCAAAAGGAGATGAAAAAGGGGAGGATGCTGACTGACTTGAAGTGTGTATTTTTTCTGCCCTCAAGAAATAAAAGCCCAAAACTTTTGTTTATTTATTCTCTTACTATTCTAGTGAAGACATGAATAAAGATGATAAAAAATGTAAACTGGTAAATAATTCAGAAAAATAGTTCTAGTCTAAGAGATAGAATTTATATTGTTTTAAGAGAAAAAAAAGAGAAAACTGTCATAGTACAATCTGATTCCTACGATCTCTCTCCTCTGTAACAGTTTTTGTTGAGGCTGAAACAAGCACATCCTTACAAAAATCTCTGTGCCCTTGATTTTAATATTTCTGGTTTACAGGGTATCCACTCCAATCAACAGATAAATGACCAATCATTCCTATGGTTGGAGTGCTAATCTCATTAAATTCTGGTTTCCACAATGAAATCTTAATCTATGGTGTGGCAGTTTGGCAATATTTAGAGATATTTGCAACACTGTCACAATGACGTTGGCTGATATTAATTATGATTCTGACTGGAAGAAATTTAGGAAAGAAACGAGTGAGTAAGCAGTTTCTGTAAGTCAGGATGAGCCAAAACTCCAAGAAGTTCCAGGGGAAAAAAAGTGAAATGCTGATGCTTAACTAACAAATCAAAGTGCCATTCCAGTTTAGCTTTGTCAGAACAAAATAACTGCTGCTGCCTGTGACTCTGGGTACCCACCATCAATCTAAGAAGAAAGGTGCCTACCAACCTCAGGAACAGCAGCTCAAAGCCAAGGGGCACAAGTCTCCTTGCCCTGAAGTTGGATGTCCAGGGAATATGCTCTCCCTTCCTTGGCATGCTGAATATCTGGATAGATGACCACTCCCAGCACCTGACTTAGGCTAGAGGGACTAATGGAATAGTTCCTGTTCTGCTTTCAGAAATGGGTAAAACAAAAAAGCATCTATCTGTTAAAGTACAAGAAAAGGGCTTTGAGTTACAGGGAAAAGGCTGAAAGGCAACAGAAGTTGGTGTATGTTCATCACTTTTCTTGTCATGTAGCCTTGTTGTACATCTACATAAGCATTTAGGGTCTGAATTTCAGAAAAACTTAAAAAAATAAATAAACTACTAAGTAGGTAATCTAATGGGCCTATCATTAACTGTCTCATAACCATTCCAAAAAAAGGAAATCTTAATTAAAAAAAANAAGTAGGTAATCTAATGGGCCTATCATTAACTGTCTAAAAAAAAAAAAAAAAAAAAAAAAAATTAATTAAAAAAAAAAAAAAAAAAAGGCCAGTATATTAAACTTCTGTCTATATTGTGTTAGCTTTTGCAGTTAAGGGAAAAAAAAACCAAACAAATCTCAAGGTGAGAGGTTGGAACTAGATGATCTTTAAGATGCCTTCCAACCTATACCATTCTGTGATTCTACAATGATTCTATGAAAAACAACAGTTGTAAACACAACCAAAGTGTATATCAAGACTCAGAACTTTAGAGGACAAAATAAAGCCTCTACTTATCATTATAGAATATGTGGGAAAAAAAAAGAAAAAAGACACAGTGCCCTGACTCGGGCCTGTCAGGGGTGGGACAGAGCAAACAACACCCCAGAGTGACTATGTATTTAATGTTTGTGACAGGACATATTGCTAAGCTACAGAAGAACCTCAGAGATTTTCAGAAGCATCTAATGGCACTAAAAGTATCCATGAATTTCCTACAATGGAGACATTCTTCACCAGAAAGAACTGCCTCAGCTTGATAAATCAATACTGGATGACTTGGAGCAAATTGAGAAACTGAACAAGTGAGAAACCCCCCAGATTAGATGATATTTATTCAGGAGCTTAAAGCACTTCAGCTATGGAGCTGCCATGACACGGGATTTATAGTTTAGCACCGACAAAGTGCTGGAGGAATGAAAGGTGGCAGTATGGCACCAACCTTAAAAAAGGCTGGAAATCACAGGAAAAAATCCCCACCAAAGGAGAGAATGAATAGTAAATATTATCTGTATTATCTACATATCCCCATTCATTTTGCCCAGGGAAGCCATCCATGTCACCCATCACAGGGACACAACCAATGCTCAAGTGCTGAGTTTGCCATCTTCCAAAAAAGGTGGCAAGAGTGCCCTTATGGAAAGCTCTTCAGCCCTCTTGGTTTGGGAGGAAGGATTCCCTCCAGGACTGATAATAGTTTAAGAAGTAGGAAAGAGAACACTAAACTAAACACAGTGGAAAGGCAGCTATCATGATGCTCCCAGGTTCACTGCTGGGTTCTTTATTCTTTAACATATCAATAAATTACATGAAATGGGCTAAAAAGTCACATAATGGTATTTTCAGATGAAGCAACAATTTCTGGATACTGGGATCATGTGTGGCCTTCAGCTCTGGCTACTGTGAACTACTGCAGAAGGATTGCATGGTGTCGACTGACCAAGAAATAAAATGGAAAATAAAACTCAAGAACAATGACTGTAAAGTAATGCACATGTGCAAAAGACAAAACAACCCCCCACAATCCCCATACAGACATTCTCATAGATTGTAAATGACAAACTTTCATTCAGGACAAAGCTCTTCCACACACTGTACACGCTGCTCTGGGAAGGCCAGCTGGATTTTCCAGTAGGTGTCAAACAGGCAAAAAGAGAAGGTTTAGCCAAATAAATGTCTCATTGCTGACACAGCTTGGAAGCCTTACTCCCCCCTTGTCCCTCCTCCTTAGTTCTTTCCTTCATTCCAGTCCAGCCTTCCCTGCTCTTTCCTCCCACATCCACTGATCCCAAGAGTCTGACCCCTCCGTCTGGCACGGCGACCTGATGGAGCAGGAGGCAAGCCAGCCCGACTCACCAGAGACAAAAGCACTTCTTTTTGTTATTATTGAAGTGACCTTTCTGCCACTGCAGTAAATTGGCTTGCTGTGTGTCTGGAGGAGCAGCAGCAATGCACAGGCCATCTGGGGTTTATGAAGCCAGGAGCTGGGGGTGCAGAAGCTGAAAAGAAGGGCAGGACCTTTCCCTCTTGGCAGCAGCGAGCTTTTATATTGGCTTAAGCTGTATTATGAAATCATAAGCTGGTGCTCATTTCTGAGCATCTGCTCCTGGCCCTGGACAGCAAATTACCTAAATTAATCTTTATTCTAATCCTGCACTGAAATAATTACACTCAATGAATCAGTCTTGGAAAGCAATATAGATAGTTACCTTCAAACAGTGTAGATAATTCTGTGAACAATGTCCCAGAAATTCAATAGCCTTCTCACATTAAGTCATCATTAAGTTCTCCCAGCACTTCTCCCTGATGAACAAATCATAAGGAAATTTAACTACAGAAGGCTATTATAAATTTTATATAAACGCACAGGTATTTTTGACTCTCACAATTTGTTCCTCGTTTGAAGGTGGAATACATCTATCTATTGCATTTTCTTTTTTCTGAGCACAGAAATAAACATGTTGCTCTATTCCCAGCAGAAATGTTATAGCTGAACTCATACAGACATTTTGGAAATGATTTCACCATTGTCGCAAAACTCGTCAAAAAATGAAATACTTTAGGGATTAATTACAGGCCCTGAGTCATTCTTTTATAAAGCTACCACAAAATGGCATCCAAGGAGCACTCAGAGATGAAACCATTTTAAGTTCTGAAATCTTACAGCCTGAGATAACTTTACCTGGAGACAGCCTTTATGCCTCTGTTGTGATGTATCAAATCCAAATTTGGAAATATGGGGGCCAATCAGTCAAAAATATCTTGGGATGAAGAAAAGGTCAGCATAAGAATATGTCATTTACAGACATTACCTGCTCTTTATTCAGGGCATACAAATGCAGCAAAAAACTGGGTAAACTTGAATGTTTAAACTGAGGAAAGCCCAAGAAATAAAGTCTCTGTTCATTTTTCTGAGAAGAAGGCATCTTGCACTACTGTTACTGTAATAGACAGTGAAACTCAGGGGGTCCATGCACAAGACTAAAGAAGCACAGGAACTGTGAACACATCCAACACCAAGACTTCTGAGTGCTTGTGCTCTAAATAAAAATGAAACATTTAGCAGATGTGCTAGCTCATCAGTTGCTACCAACACATTTTAAAGACAATCAAGTTTGACTCACAATACAAATATGGGATTTGGTATGTTTGTGTGGGATTTTTTTGTACCTTTTTTTTTTTTTTTTTTTTTTTTTTTTTTTTTTTTTTTTTTTTTTTTTTTTTTTTTTTTTTTTTTTTTTTTTTTTTTTTTTTTTCCCTGTGGAATCGCTATGGCCATACTGATCAGAACACCTAGAAGATTTGTGTGTATTCTTGTATAGCCTGACACAGAATTGGTCCAAACCATTTTAAATTGTGCCATACCTCTCTTCCAGCAGCAGATCTGTATCCAGGTTAAGTGCAAATATAGCCAGGCCTATATGCACTGCTTGGTTTTTGTGTGAACAGGAGGCCAGTGAAGCCAGCATACCAGCCTGTCCTAGATGGGAAGATGCTGGAATTTAAATGAGCATTACAATCCACTGGTGTAACCCTTAGGAAAATAGCCATGGGCAGCCAACAGATTGGCTAAACATGCCTCACCTTCCTGGCCTAAGTGGAGCTCTGGGAGTGCATTAATATAAATATTTGCATTTAATATATTACCTCATCCTAGAAAAATGGTAATGAATAAATACAAACCCAAGCACAAATTTTATTTATCTAGTTTATAGTGAGAAAAACACATGATCCTCTATTCTGCTTTTCAAATACCCTCAGCCTGCAGGAGCCCAGGCAGCCAGCTTGTGAAGCCATGACAAATTGCTGCTACAAAACATGAGGGAGGCTGCTCAGGAGCTCAGGAACAGCACCTGGTGCACATCCTAGAGCTGAGATGGTGCAGCTCTGTGCTGGCTCCCATCTTCCCTTTGACTTTGGACAAAATGCTGCCTCTCTCCAGCTTCTGTTGTCTCTCCTGATTTCTGTTTCCCTTCAGTATGTCAGGCATATGATCCAAGGTGCAGAAGTTTGGCTGAAAGATTCCCATGAAAGACCATTTGGGAATTGAATTAAATGTAGCTAAAAAATAAATTTTAGGTCTGAGATTCACAACCAGACACCTAGGGTAAACCCAGCTGTAAAAAGTCTTGTCAAATAAAACAGTTTTCCTAGTCATGTAGCACTGCTTAAGAGGGGCAACTGTTTCAGATCACACTTTGAAGTTAATTCTCAATTTAATGAGACTTCACAAATTCAAACTCTAAAAAAGGGCATCTTTGTAATCTGGTGGTTCAGCATATGGGTGCTGGAGGAAGGAAAGCTACTTTGCATGTCTATAAAAGCTGATACCAGAAGATGACAGTTATGAAATGTGTTTCTAAACAGAGTAGAAGCTGTTGGTCTGATGGTAGGTTGTGTGGGGAGCAGGGGGAATATCCAGAAGTCAGTAGGAGGATTCAGCCTGGCTTCAGCACTGGGATAATCACAACTGATGTACAGCAGGACTGACCAAAGGTAAACATCAGACGAGAGCTAGAGAGAAAGTGTTGCCCATTGATATAAAAAACATTTCTTCTTCACTCCCAACATCTTAAGGGACATAAAATAATAACTTTTTTAATGGCCTGTGGAAGGCTAGGGTGAAAGAATGATTCTCTGCATGGTTTTTGACAGTAGCATTGCTGCAGCTTTGGTGGCCAGAGGAAGTGGAGCTTGGAGCAGAGCTAACATCATTCATCAGAACAGATATAAAACATTTTCAAAGCACAGAGTCACCTGCAGAGTCCCAGAATCTGGCATCATACCTGATTTTTCCAAATATGTCAGCAAGGCTAGTAAATAATGTTGTCTCTCCATAGAGATCTTACTTTTCTGAAAATATTGTTCTGTACTTTTCTACTATAACAAATTACAACAAAATTAAATTGGGCAAAAATGAGGTCTGGGGAAATTCTTGTACCACGACTGAATGGAACAAGGGAAAGAGAATAACTGCTGATGGACACATCAACTTTTTGATTCTTAGCAATGTTGAAGGGACACATCCTTTAGAGTTTTGGTCCCTCATCTATTACTGTATTCAGTGGATGTGACCAAATTAGACAGAAAGAATAGCTATGCTTAGTACAAAGCAGCCATGAATTTCAGAGGGAAATGCATTCTTAAAGGAAATGAGAGGCCTCAGTCAGTGCTAAGTAACTGCTCATTTTGGGTGTCAGTGGAGCTATGGCAGTTTGGCAGAAAAATATGATTCTTCTCATTTCTCCAGACACTACCTTACAAAACTGATTCAGGAATACAATGATTAATACTAGCAGCAGTCACTTAAATTCTTCTTTGACAGCAGCCACACAACATTTACCATGCTGGCTGAATGATTTCCCACTGGGGCAGGGAGCCTAGTGACTGAGATCAGAAAGTAAACCCAGGACACTAGAAAGCCAACAAGGGGAACAAAAAATCTGAAGGAAAAGAAAAAGTAAAAAAGCAAATAATTACAAAACCACAATCAAAATCAATGTGCCTGTTTTATTACCTGCTGATCCTACTTCTTTCCAACCATTGCAGGAGGCCACATGCCAAGTCAGTGTAAATGGAATATGTTTATTCCCTTGATCACAGCCCTTTCTCACTGCTGGAATACATGCTATGAAGCTGAGTCTGACAAACCTCTGAAAAACACTTCCCTAGACAAGCACAATGTGACAAGAAACCAAACTCCACATCAAGTACATAAAGTTCTCCTTTATGACTGGTTCTCCTTTAACCTCTGTCATCTTTGAAGGTGATATCAGAGCAGCAAAAGTCACTTGCTAATGTCAAACACCTTCTGAAAGTAGGCTCTAAAACCTGGCTTTCCAAAATAGTCCAAATCTCTGAAGCCTGCCTTCAAAAACTGCAGTAGAGCAGCCACCCATCCATTCTCAGCTCTTGTCACAGTAACTCGGGAGAGATACACAGCCATGCTGATGTGTTGAAAGCCAGTGAGATTCCAGAGAAAGTGATCTGCATGCAAAGCTTGCACTGTTTTTGCTGTCTCAAGTAAAGCCTACTTCTATTTTCTTAAGTGATTTTTGTGTGTGTGCCCATGCGTGGCTTGCAATAGCATTTGCTTGGAACAGGCACAGAAGAAAAGAGGTCTCAAGCACAAGGCTGGAAAAATGCCCCGGAGCACACCCACCTTTTTTGCTCTGAAAGGCAAACTTCTTAACAGTATGGTCATTGCCAGGAAAAAAAAAATATTTTAGGACTTGGTATTTTTTGTACCTTAAAATAAAGAGATTTATAAGCTTTTATATCCTGATTTCATCCAGTTTCTGTTCCCTCTCTCCTGGTTGTGCCTTTGCTGCTGTTCTTCTGCCTACACCTCCTCCTCCTTTTCATTCCATTTCGTGACTATTTTCTCTGGATCTCTTGAACTATATATTTTTCTAAAATATTCCAGAAAGAATTTATTCTGAGAATAATTTATCTAAAATTTTGTATTCTCTGCTTTAAATTAGTTCTTCATGTTGGCACAGAAAATCTCCAAATTCCTGGTTCAAAGACATGGGGATAAATGGAAGAGTTGTCAAATATAATGGCAAAACAATTCTAGTGTTCTGTGTCATGAAGGAGGCTGCTCCAGAGAAGCAGGAATTGCCATCATTTTAAGGGACAACCTACATTGTATTTTTTGTAAGAAAAGAATCCACAACTGTCATAGCATGACTGCACTAATTTCAAAGTAAGCCAAAAGACGAATCATTTTAATTTAGTCTCACAAAAAAAATGCATTTCAAGTCACCTTCACTGTGCACAACCCACATGTACTATGTTCCTCCCCTGAAAAAAAATACAAGTGGTCTATTATTAGTAAAGGGCAGAGCAGAACTGGGAGAGGAGCCCTGGCAGGTCTGGGGAAGGCAGTGCCTGTAGCTGAACACATTTGCTTGCTCTTCAGTCAGCCTGCCCAGGACTTGCACAGCTTTTGAGACTAACAGCCTGAAGGGCCAGGCTCTACAAAGTTGCAACAACAAAGCTGTTCTGTGCTTATTTAAGCAAAACTCTTCCTCTGAGGCAGAGTCTGAGAGCTCCCCATGGGAAACTTATTTACATTTTTGAGTGATACCTCACTCGGTTATGCGAACACTTCTCAGGACTGTGAATCCTGGAGCTAGTCTAAATCTGGGATCCTGCCATGCTTTCCTAGCTTCTTCCCAGTTACAGCAGAGAAAAATTCCAACTGATAAACCCTTTTAAAAGTGACTCTTTTTTTTTTTACTGCTGAAGGAGAAAGAGGAGCAAGATGAGCCTTAAGTTTTCATCCATCTGGTGGTGAAGTTTGTGACTGTTTTTAGCTCTTGGACCACAGACCATAGGCTTTGAAGACTTGCAGGCCCACACAACTCTCTCTTTGAAAACTGAGAGGGAAAAAAAGTTATTTCTTCTAGGTAACAAAGCTGTTTTGGGTCATTGAAGCAGAGCAAATCTACAAGAGCAAAAATCTAGTTGAGGTAATGTTTGGGGAATCAGCTTTTAATATTGAGTGGTATGGGATGGAAAGCCAATGTAACCTTCAAAGCACAGGACTCAGATGCTACAGAAAAGGTCACTGACATCTGTGCCACACATATCTTATGTTGCATTGGACTGGGAGACTGACACAAAAGTACAGGATTTATAGGAGAGGAGACACATGGGTAAGAGAGCAGTGGTGGGAGTTCATCAGCAGCAGCATCCTGCAGAAATGCACTTCTAGAAACAGCACAGGACCAAGCTATTCCTCCCACACCCTTTGCAGGAACAAAGTTTGAACCAAATTCTCTTTTCTTTTGTGAATAAAAGGGAAACCTGGCAAGCTGCGAGCCAGATGCTGGCCCAGAGCTGTGGTTCACAACCACGAGTGCTGTGGTCCCCAGAGCTGCAGCAGCACAGAGCCTGTGGCCACAGCAGGAGCAGGCAGCAACACTGGCCAGCAGCTCCAGCTGCTGCTCTGTGCACACCAGAGGTTTGCAGGCTGGAGCCCTTCTGCTGGAAACCTGCAGGAGCTCTGAAGGAGCTCCACAGACACTCAGTGCAGCTGTGCAAACACCCCTGTGGACCTTGCTGGAAGGATTAGCCCATGGAAGCAGATTTCTTCTTGTTCTTCAGAGCACAGACAGACGACAAGCAGCCCTACAGAAAGCCATTAGCATTCAGAGCTGGGCCCATGGCTGCTCTGGAGTTCAGAGGGCAAGGTCACACACCTCTCATATTGCTGATGGCTTGTTTTGCACAGAGATGCTGCTGGTGGTGTATTACTCAGGGCACTGTCCAAAGCCCTGTGCTGTATCTTCCTAGTCTAGGGCTGTTTCTCCATAATTGTGCAGGCCCTGGGAGCCAGGGCTGGGAAGCTGAGGGAATGATCAGATTACTGCAAGGCAAGGCAGGGGAGAGCAGGTGGAATTGTAAACAGGCACAGGGAGGGGGCAGAAAGACCTGAGCAAATAGCTGTTGTTTCCAGCTACTAGCACAGTCAAGTTATTCTGCTCAAAGCCAAAATTACAGCTGAGGCAGAGAGTGTCCCAGGGAACCCATCATTACTGGAGAAAAGAGGAATTGGCACCAGCTACCTAAAAAAACTGCTGTGAGGAAATGAGAGCTGGCTGATGACAGACTTCACCTGAAAAAAAAAAAAAAAGAGGGACAGAGAATGCCAGGGACAGTGTGGAACAGGCCTGAGGGAAAAAAAAAAAAA